AAGAGCCCTGGGGATGACTTCACCCAAAAATATCTCTTCTGACACCTCAAGTGCATAAAACTAGCAAACTCCATGCTAGTTCTCTGTCTAAAGATATCAAGACTATAAGGAAGGTGTTATTCCTATAAAGCTTTGGTACAGACTAGTTTACCCGGGCATTTCCCCTCTCTACAGTAAAAAGCAGAGAGCACTTGCATCCTAGGAACTGGGAAGGAATAATGAAATGACAAGTAAAAGGAGGTAGATGACACCAAAAGAAACATCCCCAGTTTGCTTGATTTCCCCAGAGACAGAGTCATGGCTGCACAGCTTTTATGCAAGGGACAAAATTAGATGAGGTCAAGAGAATGGCTCTGTGGGAAATTTACAAAGCTATTTGTTCACTGAAATTATTAACTCCTTGACCTTGAGCCACACTGGATCACATGGGATGACCCAGAGGTACAGGCAGTAAGCGCAGCACTGCTCCTACGCACCCTCATGGTTCCTAAGCTCACCTCACCATCATACTCTTAATGTAGCAGATACCTTATTAAGCACCGAGTGTGTGCCAGAATGTTCTGTAACTGGAACTACTGAAGGCAACAATTGCTGCCCTCGTGGGTTGATATCACTGCGCTATGACTGTCCAGTGGCTTCTCTGTCTTCTCCACTGGGACTGTAAGATCTTTGCGGACAGTAGCCACATCTTGTCCATCTTGTTCACCACTGTAAACTTCTGGTGCTCTCCTGGCTCACACTAGGTATCCCATAATAGGTGCCCATTTGAATACATGAGTGTCCAAGAATAAGGGAGAAATGTTCCTGGTTCAGGCTAATCACTTGCAGGATACTGGTGAGTTACCCTAGCCTCAAGGTTGAAAAGAACCGCCGTATTTTCTCTTTTTAATATATCACTTCACCATTATAGCTTTTTTCCTGCCTCCAGGGCTTTCAGTGAATAACAGTGTGCAACAGTCTATACTGTAAGCTCCTAAAGCACAGAAACCTTCACATAGCATCTCAAAGCACTACATTTGAGGCATTCCAACTGCCTTGTGATGATGATTCAGAGTTGTTTTCCTACCTAGGACCATGAGCTGCTTGACCACACAATGTCTTTTCTTGGTCTTTCTGTCCTGAGCAAAGCAGACGTAATCCCCTTGGTCCTGCAGTGATGCATTCTGGAGCTCCAAGATCAAAATGTCACTTGTACTATTAGAGAACATAGTGGCATTCATTTTCCAAAGAGCATCCAAATTCTTGCAAACAGGTGTGGGCAACTCTCCCACTTGGACCGGCAGGGCCTGTAGGCCAAGCCTGTACCACGTAAGGTTCTCAAACGTCATTCTGTCTACGGTGCACCACAAAGACACGCTCTCCTGTTCAGTCGGTTGGGCATCAGGTTGCAAAGTAATTTCAGGACCTCCTGAAATTTAAAACCCATAGTTAGAGATTTGTGATTTAACTTAGTTCAGCACACTACTCCTTTCTTGTTGCCTTCAGACTCTGCCTATAAAAGCCAAGAGAAGTAAAGGTCCAGCAATCCACATGATGTCACACAGGAGACAATTAAACTAGACAATTTGGGTCCCAAAACGTGTTACTTGGCCTGAATTCCCCAGATATTTATCAAATCTCCACTTTGAGCACTCAGCGTAGTTTTTAAGATTAAAAAAAAAACATATCCAAAGCAGAAAATTTAATCACAACATTGAAATTTTAAAAAGTAGTTCCCTATTACCACATAACACCCAATGACATTAAAGCTACACTTATTAAATAATAACTGTTGCCATCGAGTCGATTCCGACTCATCGCAACCCTATAGGACAGAGCAGAACTGCCCCATAGGGTTTCCAAGGAGTGGCTGGTGGATTTGAACTGCTAACCTTTTGGTTAGCAGCCAAGCTCTTAACCACTACATCACCAAAGCTCCAAAAACTTGCCCACTTATTACACTTACTAATTAACCTGGACTGAAATATTTTATTCATTCCAATCAGCTAAAGATTATCCATAAAACTAAGGCGCAAAGGCAAAATCAACAGTGCTGGGCAGGCACTGCTCTTTTGTCATTACGACTGCCTCCAGAAAACCCAACCTCTTCAATTTTCCGGCAACAAGTTCACCAACATTTATTGAACTATTTATTAAGGCAAGCACTGTGAGAGGCTATGATGATGAATACATAGATATGGCACAGGACTTGTGGTTTAAAAGTATGTGTGAAACCATTTGCTCTCCAGTGAAGTTGATAAACAGATAAACCCAGAAGCTACCTCAGTTTTAATTTATAAAAAAAGCATCAATTACTAGTCCAAGTCCTCTGCCTAATCACCATGCCACTCACACAAATAGTGAGGGCTACAGAAGATTACACGACTTAGCACCCACTTTGAGAGAAATCCAACCCACTCTACCCTCCAGAAAGGAGCACTTACTGGTCACGTGGAAGGAGATAACCCTCTCTCCTAGCCCGGCTTTGTTGATGGCTTCACATTTGTACAAAGCTGACACATTTGCTGCTTGGATAACAAGGGTGCTTACAGTCTGGAAAAAAAAAAAAAATAAGAAGCCCAGGCCATAAACAATGGAGGCTGTGTTTGTGCACATGCCTTCAAACTAAAAATTCAGCAGTCTTCACAATTGTTACTATCTGCCTATTCAATTCACCCCACTACACATAATTACATTTATGTAATTATGCTGGTGTAGCTCCCACATGCACACAACTGCTTTGGAAATCATCAAATAAATAATGTGTTTTCATATAACATTATACATATACGTATTTTCCCATTTTCATGTTTATGAAATCAGAATCACCTTACAACGGACTTGTAAGTTTAGTGTTTGATTTTTTTATGATAAATTATCGACAAGCCAACGATGGTTGAGCAACATGATGAACATGTTTAATGTCACTGAACCGTACGTGTGAAGATTGTTGAAATGGCAATATAAAAATACCTATGTATTTAGCATAATAAAAAAAGTTTTTTTAAATAAACCAGTGATACTGTTTAAACTCAATGGTGTTTACAAACTGACTTAACATGCTACCATTTTATCATGATTTGATTTGATTTTTGTTTATTATAAATTTGATTATTAATCTCTAATACTCCTCACCTATTATTGTATCATCTTCCATTTAAAAAGAGAGAAAAATATGGATTTCAGATTAAAGAGTTCAAACTCACTTTGTTTTTTCCTTCAATTACAGCAAATTGATTTTTGGTGACTTCAATTTTATTTCCCCCCTGGAAATCCTCCACGTTTCTCCATTCTTTACAAGTATATGGTTTTGTTGTTAAGGCAGATTGACTATAAGAAAGAGATCACAGATTGTATTTTGATTTAATTTTTCTTTAAATCAAATCAGTGGTAAAAAAAAATAATCAGACTTTGGTTATTGTGTTTCTAGAAGTAACTTTCAAGGCAGACTATCATGTCACAAGATTTGGTGCCAATTAAAAATTGGCCTCAGCAATGAAGGAAAAGGTTCTAGGTAGATTCATTCAGGATACAGGAGGGAGGTAGCTATTCTAGGAACAAACCTCCATTCGTAAACTGGATCCACAAGACAAGTCAAGTTAATTTAGTTCAAAGGAACGCAAGGAAACTAAGAAATCATCAGGTTTCTTAAAGTAATGTCTCTGCAACTTTGGCCTTTGTGTAGGAAATGATCCAAACAGCTGAGGAAGAAACTAGTGGTGGCCATTTCAAAAACAACAACAGGAAGTGGACTGTTTAGGGTGGTGGTGGGTTGGTTGTTGTTTTTTTTTTTTTCCCCCCCTAAGGATGTCTGGACTTATGTTAGAACCTGATAAGCTGGGCCTGAGACTCTTAGGGCTGGGCTAGGTCTATCGCTCCCTCACATCCATCAGCACTTCCTCTGAATGATGGACCTTCTCACAGATAAGAAGGAGTGGTGTGGTGTTCACCAGTTGACTGGTATAAGGAGCAAATCCAAAGATTGGCAATTAGCAAACTAAACAAACAGCCTGCATTTGGCAAGGTGTACATCAGGGCTAATCTAAGAAGAGATATGAAATAAAGAAAATGGGTTATCCCAAAGACATCTCCTACAATTTAAGACGCAGAGAAAAATGAAGGGAGGTGAAGGGGTCCTCTTGAGAGAGAATTTTCTTAGGGATGATCTTCCCGGTTAGATTACAGTCATATCCCAGTGGAGCTATGGGAAATGCAAAATCATAGGACAAAAGAGCCCGTGGCCCTACTCACGTGGGTATGTAGTTGCATTCTTCCTCCAACTGCCAATACCATTGGATGTGACGCGGGGGAGGAACAGCATAGACGGTGCACGTCAGTGTTTGCATGGTGCCATACTGGTAGGAATCCATGGGTGATATTACAGACTTCTCACCAATCTGGGGTGGGACTGGAGATGAGGAAAGTAACGTTTGAATTGTCAACCAGCTTTAAGGAATGGAAAGTAGAGGTTTTCAGCAACTTAAGGCTATGTTTTGTTTTGTTATTTTAGCATATGATTTTGCCACCGCTTTCTTTTTCAAAGAATAGCTAGATTCAGATGTTCTAGTGATACTTCACAAAGCTGAGTGACTTTGTGCACGTCTTGGAATCTATGCCTCTTTTTTTTTCCATCTACATTATAGGGATAATTCTTCCAGTTCTCCCAATCTCAGAAGATCGGGGCAAGTCTCCAGGAAGAAAATCGTTGTGAATAACAAATAGATGATGATATGCCAAGCATTATTCTAAGTGCTTTATATTGATTAATTCATTTAATCCTCACAACCGCTATTATCGTCCCCTCATTTTACATATGAGAAAAATGAGACACAGAAAAGTTCAGCGACTTGTCCAATGTCACCCAGTTAACAAGTGACAAAACCAGGAAAAAACCTAGACACTCTGACTTCTGAACTCAAGCACTAAACCACTATATTATAAACAAAGATATAAATCATTATATAATGAATCACTGCCAACCATGTCTGTCTTTCCTTCTTTCTTTCTTCTTTTCTTCCTTCTCTCCTTTCTCCTCTCCTCCCTTCCTCACCCTCTTCTTCCTCCTTTCCCTTCTTTCTTTTTTGCTTCCACAGTCATTAATACAAAACTATTTTCTTACTGAGGAGCCCTGGTGACTCAGCAGCTAACTAAAAGCTCTGCAGTTTGAACCCACCCAGCAGCTCCATGGAAGAAAGACCTGGCAATCTGCTTCCGTAAAGACTGCAGCCAAGAAAACCCTATGGGACAGCTCTACTGTGTCACTTGAGGTCACCATGAGTCAAAATCAACTCGCCGGCACATAATAACAACACTTTCTTACCACTATCAACCTAAAGGCTCAGATTTTGCTTTAAAACTTAACTACTGTTTTATGTTTGTTTCATATACCAGGGTAAATGCTACAGTGAATCAAATGTTTAATGACTTTATGAATTGGATGAGATGGGGTTATTCACCGGCCATAGTTCTGTCTTCATTTCTTCTTCCTTTCCTTCTTCCCATCCTACTTAACCTGGTGGCATAGTGGTTAAGAGTTTGGCTGCTAACCAAAAGGTTGGCAGTTCAAATCCATCCGGCGCTCTTTGGAAACGCTATAGGACTGTTCTACTCTGTCCTATAGGGTTGCTATGAGTCGGAATCGACTCGACAGCAACAGATTTGGTTTTTCAGTTTATCCTACTTATCAGCTTTCCAGTTTCTCTCCCTTCCCCAATGCCCTACTCCTGCACTACTTATAAGCAAATTTCCTGGAACCTGTTCTCTTTAAAATACTCTTTGGAGCTGATTTCTCAGGAAAAAAGCTAAGCTAAGCTCAGCAGATATACAGAGGGTTAACAAGAAGTAAGGAAAACCAGATGCCAACAAGTTGACTCTGACTCATGGCGACATTCATGTGTGTCAGAGTAGAACTGTGCTCTGTAAGGTTTTCAATGGCTGATTTTTTGGCAGTAGATCACCAGGCCTTTCTTCCCCAGAGCCTCTGGGGGGACTCAACTGCCAACCTTTTGGTTGGCAGCCAAGCACATTAACCATTTACACCACCTGGGACTCTGGAAGCACTGGAAAAAAAAAACCAAAGCCATTGCCCTCGAGTCAATTCCGACTCATAGCGACCCTATAGCACACAGTAGGACTGCCCCATAGGATATCTGAAGCTGTAAATCTTTACAGGAGCTGACTGCCACATCTTTCTTCCAAGGAGCAGCTGGTAGATTCGAACTGCCAATCTTTTCGGTTAGCACCCAAGCACTCAATCACTACGCCACCAGGGACTCCGGAAGCATGGGAGAAGCACCTTAATTTCATGAGAGAAGATCCTGCAGTTTTACTATGCTGCGCCAGTAGGGAGAACAAAGAATCACAACGGAGAAATGTCTCTCAAACTGTGTTTGGAGCAAGATATTAATGAATGTACCTGGGGAAAAGGTGATCTGGTCAAATCAGTTTGTTAAACCCTGCATACTCTATGCCACCATCACCACCCCACCCCATCCCTGTCCCTGATGGCAATAGACATTAGCATGTTAAAGGCCCCAAGAAATCCTGTACTAAAGAAAGCTGCTTTACATTAACTTAGGACCTCCCACGCTTACTTGATCTTGGCACCCTTTTTTCCTCCAACAACACTTGCTGTTATATTTCAGTTTGGGAAAGAGTTCGAATCATTCTTAAATCAAAATAACACTAAATATCGTCCCTTTATAGACTCAGAATCAGATCCTGAACTTCTGACAGAAAAAAAAAAAGATTCCAACCTAGCCAACAATGTTGACCTGCGAAAGCCTTCTGAGGTGGAACCTGCCCGTGACCACTGACACATCAACTACAAAACCAAGTTAGAGGCTTCTCACAAAATTCAAGGAGAGGAGTCTTACTTCTTCCTCCTACACATCTGCATACCAGGTGTACAACTGCATGAAACAAGAGTAAAGGCAGTGTAACTTAGGCTTGACAACTGTCCCTGCAGGCATTCTTACTTCACAGCATTGGGCCATCGAGCGCACTATCTACTTAAATTTTGCATTTGACCACCAAATAGCTCACTTCCATGGCCTCTCAAGCAAACACATCCATGCCACACTGCCCTATACCTCATCTCAACTCCACCACTCTAGACCATTTTTTATATACAGATGTCCCACTCATGAAGTGGGTGAAGCAGCAGGTGACAATGGAAAGGTGGCTTGGTTGTTTCGGAAGATAAAAGCATATCCTTCATAATAAATTTTGGACAGAGAAGGAAAACTGAATGGACTCACCATTCACAACCAGAGATACCACGTGGCTCTGTTTCTCCTTTGAAATGGGATTAGTAAGAATGACAGTGTAATTCCCGGTATCTTTTTCACTCACTTCCATAATCGTCAGGACATGCCCCGCTTTGACTGTATGGTTAGACTCAAGGGGTCTTCCATTTTTATACCTATGGAAAAAAAATTCCGGGAATTTGTACAATCTAAAGATTTGCCTTCATGTGAAACAATGTTTTGCATTTATTTCCAATAGTTACCATTTTATTTCAGGGGGTGGGTAACCAAGGCACTTCACAGGAACTCTGACATGGTCTCCCACTGTGGCTTCCACCAAAGATTCCATGCCGCTATGAAAAGCAACAAAAGGTTTTTCTGTAAAACAATTTAAAAAAAAAAATTATTCTCAGAAATGCTGATTTACTGTAAATGATTTTTGGTTTAGCTTTTCAGTTCAACTGAAAAATCAAATACCTTGGGGTTCTGAGTTGCTGCAGTTCAGACATTCCGCATATTACCTTCCTATAGGTCACATTCCAGCTTCCTCCCATACATCCACTCTTTGCACTTGCTTTTTCTCTCACCCTGAGTGTACTCCTGCAAGCCTACTTATTGCTCAAGTCTCAATTCATGCATTTGCTCCTCCGTGAAGCTTTCTCTAAGTCCCCCAGGGACACGAGGGGGACTTCTCTGCTCCCATGATACCCTATACATAAATCCCTCCCATGTGTTGGCATGCCCCGGGGCTCAGTCCTCAGATTTCTTATCTTTATCTACACCTACTTCTATCTCAGAATTAAAGTACCATTTATATACCTCCTAAATCTATTATCTCTGAGTTCCAAGTTTATGTATTAAACATCTCCACTTCAATGTTTAATGGGCATTTCCAAACGAGCATATTAACATTATTTCCCCTAATCTGACTCCTCTGTCATCTTCCCTATCTCAGTAAATAGCACCACCAGTTGCTCATGCAAAACACTCAAAAATCCTTTTCCATTCTTTTCTTTCTTGAAACCCCAGAGCCAATGAATCCATAAGCAGATTCTGTTGGATCTACCTTCAAAATACATCCAGATCAGATCACTTCTCATCACCTCTGCACCCTGTCCAAGTCATTTACCACCCCTTACCTGGATTATTGCGATTCACCTCCTACCTAGTCTCCCTACCTCTGCCCTTATTTCCCTAAAGTAATCCTAGAAAAACATAAGCCAGAGCTTATCATACTATAAAATCCAAAAGCCTTACCATGGCCTGTAAGTAGAGTGCCATTTAATTATCATCTCAACTGAGACATTTATGACAGTGAAAGAGAACAAATGAGACATGTTATTATTTTCTCACAGCCCCATGGCAAGTAACTGAACCCACGCTTACGCCTGTACATCTCTCAGTTTTGCAATAAAAAGATTTTAAAAGCTACCTTAGATACTAATACTTTACTTATGAAATAATAATAATAGCAACAACAACTGCTAGTATTTAGTGAGCACTATTATCTTGTTTCACCTTTAGAGTTGGGATTTGACCCCAAGTCTCTCAGACTCCAAAGCTATGCTCTTGATCTCTAGGTCATGTAGCCTTCCCTGCAAGAGCTTAAGAATATCTGCTGAATGAACATAATAGGAATCACTACCTGATCTAAATTTATTTAAATTGTCTCATTTTTCAAGGCACAGCATAATTCCAAAGGAGATCTTAGCTTACCGTGGACCCTGACAAACGTGCTGTTCCTCTTGGTCATCCGCCCACTGGACGCAACACAGTTGTACCACCCTTGGTCACTCCGGGTTACACTATCTATAGTCAAGGTGCTCAAAAATTTCTTCATCTCACTCTCAGACTGGGTTTTTACGTCCTGGTTTATGTGTTTCTTATGCTGATGCTGAAAAAATAGTTTAATTTACTTCCAAAGCTGAGCATAGCATTACCCAGTAGCTTCCTAGATACCAACAAAATCAGGTCTTGGGTCTTGGCGAACACTATTTAACGCTAACAATAGGAACTCCAGAATTTTTAACATTATGTAGATAATAAATGTGTTTGGTGTCAGGAGAATCAGGGTTTTTTTAAAATACTGCACTCAGTGAGAATAAGACGGATATGAACTGCGGACACAAGCAAATATGACCACTGTTCAAGGAGAAGCGTATCTCATCCCGCCTTTTAAACAGAAATTCCCTTACAGGGAAAAATAGATAAAGGACTTTGAAGAACATGGGGATAACCCGAAAATACATAATCACCTAGAGAAAACTGTGTAATGTTCATGACCTCATTGTAGCAGAGTGGCACAGGGTTCTTGGCCATGTTTCTTGTTTTTCCATGGGTGCTCTATGTTCTATAATCCCCTTAATGTTTTAAGGTTCTTACATAGGGTCACTATGAGTCAGTATCAACTCAACGGCACACAACAAAATGATTGAAGAAGGTATAACTTACTGCACAAAGTGACACATTGAGGTTTGAAATAGACCCAAGACACAGAATCACTACAGTTTTGGTTTTGCTCTCAGTGATGTACACAACCCCAGATATTTTATCTAAGGGCACTGGTGGTTCAGTGGTAGAATTCTTACCTCCCATGTGGGAGACCCAGGTTTGATTCCTAGCCAATGCACCTCATGTTCAGCCACCATTCATCTATCAGTGGTGGCTTGCATGTTGCTATTATACTGAATAGGTCTCAGTGGAGCTTTCAGACTAAAGATGGACTAGGAAGAAAGGCCTGGCAATCTACTTCTGAAAATCAGCTAATGAAAGCCCAGTGGTCCAATCCTCTGACCAGTCATGAGGATAGCATAGGACTGGGAAGCATTTTTGTTTTGTTGTGCATGGGGTCACCATGAGTCAGGCGCCAACTCAACAGCAGCTAACAACACCAACATATTTTATCTGGCCAGAGTAATCCTTATCTCTCTCAAGCAAATGGTTTTGGCGATTATTACCAGAGCATTTAGAGGTCTGGCTTTGAATTGTTAGTGTTACCTTCAAAGACTAGGAGCCCTAGTGGTGCAGCGGTTAAGTGCTTAGCTGCTAACTGAAAGATCAGTGGTTCGAACCCATGAGTAGGTCAGCAGGAGAAAAATGTGCCACTCTGCTTCCATAAAGTTTTACAGCCCAGAAAACCCTGTGAGGGCAGTTCTACAACCATCCTATGGGGTCACTATGAGTCAGAATTGTCTAGAAGGCAATGGGTATGGGTACCTTCAAAGAAGGATACTCCCAGTTGAACTTAACTGCCACGTTTAGTTCAGTCCTTGCTGTACAATTTAGGACAAGCTTCTCTCCAACAGACATCTCGACTCCATGAGGAGGACTCAGAACCACATCATAAATCTTATATCCTAGAGCAAGTAAATTAGAAAACAGAAGGTAATAAATCTATAACTCCGCGCAAATTTTTCGAAAGTGATGCAACTATAAAATATGTCATATCATTTTTCCCTGAGGACCTCACTAATACCTGGGAACTCCCAGGAAAATCACCTACAGAGATTTACAAAAACTAACTCCGGGGCTCAAAGATGTTGTAACCCAGTGGATGGAAAACTAGTAAAGTTTGAGTGGTCAATAGCCCTAGGTCAATGGGGACAGCTTTAGTAAATAGTTGAACTTTTCATAAAACAGGTATAATTTTAAAAACTGGTGACAAGCATTGATTTTTTTCAGAAAATGTGCTACTGTAACAGCATTCTTTTTAATACTTGATCTTGGCAAGAAAAGAGAAAAACTCGACTGCACACGGGTTTATTTGGTAGAGAAGAGTAGATATAATGAATTCCCCACCACATCATTAGTTATATTTTTCATTATCCCTTGTCCTTTACAATACACCTTAGCCTCCAGGATCTTAATATATGAAGCCAATCTTTATTGTCTGATATTAATGATATAGAAAGGAACTGTTCTCTTACCTAACACCACAACTATGTACATAATAGACTGGTAGCTTTCATCATTAATTTTTGCTTCACAGAAGACCATGCCAGCATAGCTGATCATGTAGCTTGGAATAGTAAAGCCTTTATTGCTGTCCCAGAAAATTCTGTTGCCATCAGGAACAAATCTCTTTTCTGGATACCTCTGGGTAGTAAAAAGAAATAGCAAATATTTGGTTATGTGCTTTCTAAAGCAAATCCCGTGTAAGCTGATCACGACTACTTTTAAGAATACCAATAGTTTTTCATTTTTTTCATGGTTATTTTGACCCTTCCTGAAGAATCCTTAAAACTCATTGTTGATATTATATTATAAGCAGGCTACTCATCTTAACATTAACTTAAAATCATGAAAATTTAAGAGATGATGGAAGTAGGTATAACTTACTGCACAAAGTGACACGTTGAGGTTTGAAATGGACCCAAGGCATGGAATCACTACAGTTTTGTTTTTGTTCTCAGAGATGTACACAACTCCATGCTGGTCACTAACAGAAGCAATAAATGGAGATCTGTAATCTAGAAGAAGATTTAATACCATTAGTTAGTTAATAGTATTTACCAGAAAAGTTGGTCATCTTTTAGGTTCATAAACTCTAGCCAGAAAGATGAATGATTGGGAATGACACCTGTCACTAGGCAAAGGCACTCTCACAGGTTAGTCTACTGATAGACATCTGGGTTCAAGAATATGCTAAAAAATATGCTATTGAAAAGGATAGATAGACATGTATAGAGATTCAGAGATAGATATAGAGATATACAAATATGTGTGAGTGTGTGTGTGTGTGCGTGTGTGTGTATAAAAAATTTGAAAGAAAAACTCCCAGAATGAGGTTGACTCCTTTCACAAGGATCATCAACTAGTAGAGTATATTTCACAGGTTCCACATTTTAACATCTTGATCATTATAATTTTTTGCAAAATTAAGGAGCATATTGACTTTAAAATTTGAAGTTTAAATCTATATACTTTACCTATTAATTTTTACTTACATTAAAAAAAAATCATGTTCTCTCTCTCTGTAGGAAAATAATGTAAGTGCGTTGAAATAAATTAATGGATCCCAAAGGATCTTTAAAAGTAACAGGAAATAAATTTCAATTTTTGAACTCAGTTATTCAGGAGAGTTTTATGTGGACATTTTAAGATTGTGATGACTATAAGATTCTTTGTTAACATAATGCTTAATAGATATCACATTTAGTTTAAGATTCAGCAGTCATTAATGCCATCAATAATAAAAATCTGAAAAGCCACCAGGGGAAAGACTGAAAAGAATATGAAAGAGAATTTAATATCATTCAAACATGGTTCACACAATGTTAATAACGCACTGGGAAAGTACTCGATTTCCCAGAGATCGAAATGATGTGGTTTGGGGTCATGCTGGAAGTGTCAGAGAGATAACAGTTCATATTGCTATGCAGAATCCAACCGACGGAACATTTTTTATAGAGCTTCATAATAGTCAGTCAAAGTAAAGAAAGGGTTAATTAAACCCAAGGGGACAAAGGTAGTTAATTCCCCGTAGCAGCAGAAGTTTGATTTACTTCCCAGCTGGAAAGCACAGAAAGGCAGCCAATCTAGCCCACCACATGCCACGGCCATTATCTTATGGGGCCAGGCACTACTTCCTGGCTCCAGCCATGGCTGTAGGGAATGGGGTCAGAAGACTAAGGAAGTAAGGTAGGAACCAGAGCGGACACTAAAAAGCAGCTCACAGGGAATTCTTCAATGTTGTCTTTACCATTGTTAAACTTCGAGACCAAAATCTCAGACAGCTCAACTCCTAGAATATTATGGCTTAGACCGGAAGCAGAATTTGATGGTATAACCAAAGACTGGTAGTGAACAAAGAAACAGTGCTACGGACTGCTACTTCTTAATATTACCTACCTTTCATCCACATGTTATGAAAATAGAAAATATAACATAGCTTGCTTACATAACAAGCCTTTGGAAGCTAAATTAACCTTTTGACGTAAGACCAAAGCTATTCAGTAAATCATTTCTATTTCAGTAGCCCAAAATAAGGAAATAAACAAAAGAAACCCAAACAACCACCCATCCCCTCAAAATAAAATATTTACTGTAACTCATCAAATGAATTTTCACATGTCTCCAGGTTTCCTGACTTGGGGAGACGGAAGTAAGAAAATATTATGGGAGAGGCTCATCTTGTAGTATTTCCAGACAGGCTGAAAGCAGGAAATCCTTGCAATCTTCTGAGAAAGCCTGATCTCCCAAGACTGCCAGATCAAAAGGAGCCAGAAATTCTCGAAGAGCTGAGCTTTGTCTCTTTCAATTTCTGCGGAGGCGGGAGGACAGCACAGAATTCTGTCCTGGATTATGCTTACCCTGGGCAAAAATAATTCTTAAACATTATGCAACCCAGGAGAGAGTATGGTGCTTTGATGTGGCCTATATTTTTCCAATGCAGGGACCACATTGCACTATTGAAATGTAAGTGGGCATAAACAAGTGTATTTCCCAAAGTTGATGAAGTTCCCATTCTGTAAAAAAGATGCTTCTGGGGGAAAAAAAAATCTAAGCCATCTTCACCTGCCTGAAATCCTCTGAGATGCACAGAGGTATAAAAATGTATGGATGAAAGCTTTAAAAGCTCATCTTCATTGAAAAGAAAAATATTCAGTATATCCAAGCAAAATATTATGCCATCTCTCCCAACTCTTACATTCCCCAAGGTTATATTATAGGTATGTCACTGGTTAAGTCACGTTTTCACAGGAAAATTAAGCTAGTATAAGATTTTTGAAACACAAAAGAAAATATAACTCATAAATACCAACTACGTGTAATGTTGTGTTTTGCACTACATGGGTGTTAAATCAGTCTCTATGGTGTCAATCTCAAATTGCAAATCCTTAAATGATTTGGTATATCATCCAAGATCTCAGACCATACATGCACGGGAAAGTAGAAAGGCCCTTTGAAGCAGTGTCTTCATTTGCACACGAGTATGAGATTTTTAAAAATAAAATAGAAGTGGGGAAAGAAAAATTCCTATGTACAAAAAAGCTCCAGAATCCTTGCCTGTTTCCCTGTGCATTCTTGGGAAAATCTCCTATGCTGGTGTAGATAACCTATCTCTGCAGAAACCTTACCATAATTCACCCGAGTCTTCCTTTTCAAGGATTTCAGGTTTTGGTTTTTTTTTTTTTTTCTTCCTCAAACATCAGAAAGCTTTATATGAGTCTCCATAGCCAATTCTGAACACAGATTTACTTAGGAACAAAGATCAAAACCAAACATATTGCGCAAAAAAAGATGTAATCAGGGCCCAAACTCCAGAACAAATCATTGCATCTCCTTTCTCAGAGGAAGCCTTGGGAGAAAAGAATTTTGTATTTTCCGGTTGGCAAACAGCCTTTTGAGAGAGCCTTTTGTTGTACTCGATTCCTCTTTACATCTATTGTGTTTTATAACTGGCAAATCAACGTGGGAAATGAATTATATTTAACCACTCACCTTGGACGTAGACATAAATGACTGCAGCCATGTCAGTGTCCCGGTAGAAGCACTTGTAGGCTCCAGTATCATTTCCGATCACTTTAGGAATTGTGAGCGTCTTACAGAAAAAGCCGTCACTGCATTCGGTCACCTCCACCCTTTCCTCAGACTCACTCTGATTATTGGGCCAGAGCCAGTCCAAGTCCCTCTGTCCCCTGAAAAATTAATTCCAGGGAAGTATTAATGTGAAATGCCACTATAAGATTGTTTCTAAGGAAACAGAGGCAGAAGGTTTGGTTCCCAAACTATTAAATAAATTCCTCAGCAGACAGATACAAAGCCTCCTACCAAAGACAACAGGTTGAATTGGCACGTGACAAAAAGCCATAGGCTCAGGTCCAGAAATCACTTATAGAGAGTCCTGAGTTTTCTGTTCATTCATTCAGCACATACTCATTATGTACTATGTTCCAGGGCACTGCTAAGGACTGGAGGTACAGCAGTGAACAAACTAGACAAAAGTCAATGCCTTTACGGAACCTCAGTTTAGCTGGAAGAGACAGGCAATTAAAAGAAAAAAAAAAGACATAAAATTTATTGTATAAAAGGTGGAAATAAGTACTACGGAGAAAAATACAGAAGTGATAAAAAAACCGATGAAGAGTTCTACAGGGAGGGGGCTTGATAAAGCTGCCTTGTGACTATCAGGAGGAACACTATCCCAGGCAGTGTTATTGTGGTTAGGTGCCATCGAGTCGCCTCCAACTCATAGCGACCCTATGTATAACAGAACGAAGTGTTGTCTGGTCCTGCGCCATCTTCATAATATATTTGAGCCCATTGTTGCAGCCACTGTGTCAACCCATCTTGTTGAAGGTCTCCCCCTTTTTCGTTAACCCTCTACTTGACTAAGCAAGATGTCCAGGCAGAGGGAATAGCAAATGTAAAGGCCCTGAGGTAGGAGCATATCTGGAAAATTATCGAAATAGCAAAGAAGCCAGCATAGCCATAGCAGAGTGAGCAAAGGCGAGATGAAGAGATGAGGACAGGGAGGAAGGGGGGTGATGGATATACAGGCCACTATAAAGGCCACATTAAAACACAGATTACTATTATTTTACCATTTCTCTACAAGGACCCAAGGGAGATAGTCAGCACCAAGAGGAATGTAACATTATTGACCTTTCCCTCAAGGAACTTGAAATTTTCATGAAATTGCAGCTACATTAATAAAGCTACTTCTAACACACAGAGAATCAGTTGCCTTCGAGTTGATTCTAACTCATGGCCACCTCAATGTGTGTCAGAGTAGAGCTGTGCTCCATAGGGTTTTCAATGGCTGATTTTTTGGAAGTAGATTGCCAGGCCTTCCTTCCGAGGTGTCTCTGGGTGGACTTGAGCCTCCAACCTTTCAGTTAGCAGCTGAGCACTTAACTATTTTCACCACCAAGGGGCTCCAACACACTTCATGGCTTTTTCAGCACTTAAGAAATGTCTATGCAGAGCTTAAAGAGAGAGGATGGATCTTTAGAGATTTTAAATAACCTTTGTTTTTGAGGGTGGGTAAGGGGAAAGCTACTGAGAAACGTGTTTGTCTTGAACCATCAAAGCTAGAGAAACAACACCTGGTACCGTGTTTCTTGCCAGGGGCTGTGTGTTCGGATCAGGTACTTGATAAGGGGATTACAATACCCTTTACACTTTGCAATCTAAAATAGATCTCTGTATCTTTGTGTTGAACACTTGCTATTCATGAGGTAGGAAGCAATTACAATAAACTGCCCAATGTTCTTTCTGGATTCCTAGTACTCTTCTCAAAGGGCAACATCCTCTCCACCCACCATTGCCTCTGCCAAGAACACATGGGTCCTGAGTAGCATTTTGGTCTTTAATGCATAAACGCAACATTAAGCCTCAAGGTCCTCCATCTTTCCTCCCAGGGTAGGGGGTGGAAAGTTTAAAGCCCACTTCTAGTAGAAGAGATCTGTTTCTCCAGTTAGCAAAAATCAGTAGCATGACTTCTTGCTAGCAAGTACAAAGAGAGGCATTCCAAGACAATATTGAGCCAGAGCATGAAGTCCATTACCCAGGCAACTGTCACTACAGTCAGAATTTTATCATGAAACAAAGTTCTCAGAAAGGACTAAAAAGATGTCCAAGAATCATTCTGAGTGTAATAAATATGGTCCCAAACTTTCAACTCTATCTTCTAAGGGTATGTCCTCAGCTTCATTTATTGATTTAATACTTATTGAATGTCTACTATACCGATGTTCTGATCATTGGTGTGTGTGTGTGTCTGTGTGCATGTTCAAGCATGCCTGTGTGTGTGTGTGTGTGTGTGTGTGTGTGTGTGCGCGTGCTGGCAAAGGGCAGTAAGGGAAAAATACCAGAAAAATCACACAGAACTTCTAGAAGACATTTCTAATCTTTTCATTATTACATCAGTTCTTAGAAACTTCCCTATTTATAAACAATTACTACAACTATATTTTAATTCTGCTATAATGGAAATTATTTTTATTTTGGTAAACAGCGGTTTAGCACAGGAAATCTGAATCTAAACTGAACCCTTACCTGCAAGTAATTTGAAGAGTTGTATTAGCCATAATTGTAAGTATGTCTTTTTGTATGCTGAGCCTGGGTGAATCAGGAGAAAGGCTAGGCAAACCTAAAAACAAAGTAAATAAATGAATGAAGTTGCCACTGAGTTAGGCCCAATAGGAAATACCTTCCATAAACAATACACACTCTATACTTTCAGAAGGCCTCTTCAGCAATTCATTGTGTACAACTGTGAATTTACTTTTCACCATTCCCAGTAAAAGTTCACAAGCTGTGTCATAACAGGAAGAATGGGCAGATGGTCATAAACCAGCACAACAGTTCTGCAACTCATGGAGCTAGGGTGGGGTTCCTGTTTTCCTGCATTACCAACTTCAAGGTCTTACAAAAGGATATGGACATTGAAACCAACTGAACCTTCATCTGGTGATCTCACTCCCTTGGGAAAGGACACACTGACATTTCTTATAAAACATAGGATGCACACGTTTGACTAAATTGCTGATTAATGAATACTACTTAGATTTCTATATAGTTCATCTATGTATCCTCGGGGGGTGGTAGGAGTGTCTATGATCCTGTCTCTTTTTCTTTACCAATTTTCTAGTGCACTTCTTCTGGTAACTGAACCACTGAGGTTAAAATAGTGGTACATAAAGGCTGTATATTAAAACTGGGTCAGAGAAATTGAGGAAGAAAGAACATTTTACAATTTCATACAATATGCATATTAATATATACTTTTCCCTCAGAGAAGGGGACTAAAAAGGTGTAATGCTAATGAATTAAAATTAAGGAATGCTCAATTCCTCAACTTATTAACCAAGGGTCTTAGTTCATCCTGATACCAAGCTTGGGACACAAGAAACCTGTCTTTATCTAAAGATTTAGGAACTAGACAACAACAACAAAAATATATGAGACAGATTCCACTATGGGTCATTCCACAGCAAGAAAACTTAGTTCTCTGACAACTAAATGTGAAGAGTTACTGGGTGTTGAAAAAGCATCAGAGAAAGAAAAGCTGTCCACCTGCTAGGGTCTTAACTGATCTGATATTAAAACACCAGTTGCTATCAAGTCAACTCCATCTCATGGTGACCCCATGTGTGTCAGAGTACAACTGTACTCCATAGGGTTTTCAATGGCTGATTTTTTGGGAAGCAGATCACCAGGCCTTTCTTTTAAGGCACCTCTGGGTGGATTTGAGCCATGAATCTTATGGTTAGTAGCTGAGAGTATTAACCATTTACATATTAGGATCCACAAAACAGCAGCTTAAAAAGTGATTGATGCTGGGAAGCACTCAAACTTAATATGGTCCCTAACTCACTTCAACTAAGAACAAATGACTCTCTGGGCCTAAACTAGCATTGACCTTGCTGGGCAAATAAAGAGTATGAGCAAATACAGGGTAGTAGGAGAGAGTATGAGTGAAGAGAGTATAAGGAAATATCCAGGACAGCTGATCCATAGACTCCAATGTGAATAATTAGAGGTAAAATGAACAACTGATCATCCATGTTCTCACACAGCCACATAGCCTTATTGATCAATAACATAGTAGAAAAAATGGAAATTAAGTTATATCAATAAGTCTCAGAAACTAAGTGTTATTGGTACTGACTTGGTGTGTTTGAGGCAGTGGGTCTTAAATTTTAGGATGTGTCAGATTGTCGCTGGCCTATGAATCTGCATTTTAGTAAGGATTTCAGGTGACTCTGACATAGACGGTCTAAGGACCACTCTTGGACAGTTATTGGTATGGTTTGTCATGTTCAGTTAATTAGCTAGCATAGCACTTTTCGATATGAAGAAAATAACTGCCCCCAAAGTATGCAAGCAATAAAACAAAATGTTTAAAAGCAAAAGAAATGCCTTCCAATAATGGAGTCCCACTTTGCCAAAAAAAAAAAAAAAATGAGAATGGGAAAACAGCAGGTTAAAAAATATGTTGAAAGTGGCAACTTAATACAATTTACACAATGATCCAAATGAGAAATAAGCCATTATTTGGGCACAGTCACGTGAGAGTAAAATGGTAGTAAATGACTAGGCTTAAAATAAGCCATGCTTCCACCACCACCAAAATAAGACTCTTTAAGATCTCTCATAAAGTATTGCCACATATAATCTCACACTCTACACACTTTCCTATGTAAAAATTAAACATAAAAAAAAAAAGTTTTCCATTCATAGGAAGCCAAGACAACACCATACTGTTCTAGAGACACATTTACAACAAAAATCTATTCAACAAAGCTATCAATAATAACTTCAAATTCATTATCTGTAGACTAATGTTCAATTTTTTCTCCCATTAAGCTTCATCCGTTTTCATTGGCAAGTTTGAGTTCTACTCTTGAGAAAGTTCTGAAGAAATGACTATAAGAGATACATATCCTTCTACTCAATAAAAAGCCCTTCTATGTTCAAGTCCCATAACCAATATTAATTAGTTTGTGCACTATTACCCCTTCCAGCTCAAACACAGGAAGGAAAAACAACAGTGTCTCTGTCTCTAGAATTTGATGGCACCAATTATAGCCCAATCCAATTAAGTAAGCCACATACTCCAAAAGGGCAACCTCACCATTATTCAGGGCAACCCTATTACCATTATTTCTGCTGTGCTATGAAACACCCCAGGCTTAAAAGCAACTCACTTCTTTGCGGGATACAGAACAACCACATGTTCCAGACATCCATTCTCTGCCCATACAGAGGGAGAGAGAGCCCTTGTCAGGGTCAAATGAGTGTCCAGGGTGGAGCGGGGCCTGGTGAACCAAGTCTTTATTAAGAAAATTCAGTAACTGTAGATAGATGATCTTGCTACTGTAAGTGAGTAGAAGAGTCTTAAGACACGTGATTCTTTTCTTTCAATATAATAAAGAAATTTCCCTAAACATTTGACTTTTTTTTCCCTCCAACTGCATGGAATCTGGAAATCAGCAACTTATGGCCAGAGAGAAGGAATATTATCTGGGAAGCGTAAAAAAAAAAGGTACGTCATAAACCTCATGTGTGTTCCTAAATCTTAAAGGAGACCACAATGTTAGATGGCCGGGGAAGTGGCGAGTGGCGCTAAAACTGGGTACCAAGTCTGGCAGAGCAGGTCTTCAGGGCTTGAACTTCTGGCTATGGGCTTATCCCACGGACAAAAGCGCTTTTAAAAAACGTTAAAACTTTTACCTAGGAAGGTGACTGTCATTTAGAGACTCTCGGATAAGCTGTCACAGCCCCGGGACCAAGTCCCAATTTCCCCCACCTTCTCTGCGAGGAGAGCGGCGCCTGCACTAAGGAAAGGAAAAAAGAAAGGTTCTCTCTCCCCGGATGCCACCTCTTAGTGGTTGTGCGTGTCGGTTCCAGCCAAGAGGGAACGCTGGCCGGGTCTCCGCTCCACTGTCGTCGAGGAAGAGCTGAGAGCACAGTGCGCTCTGCGCCGCAGGGGTTACGCTACCTGCAGGATCTCATTCCCCGCGGAGGAGTTGCCTGCCGGCGCCCGGGCTAAGATAGTGTGCGCAGCGCGGACAAGTTGTCACTGCCTGTTCCCGGCTGCGGAGGCACCTCCTGCACGCCTGCCCCGGGCGCCTTCCCACCCCCGCCTCCGGGAGCCCTAAAGTGCATCGGCTCGCAGGACACTGTCCAGCCGAGGCCCCTGTCAGAGACGAGAGCCATAGAAAAGGCACCAAGTTAAAGCTCAGGAGGCCACCGACTCGCTGGGGACTCTTGGGTCAGTCTTTGAGCCTCAGTTTCGCCACTGGTAAATGAAAGAGCACCAAATGTCAAGTCCCTTCCAACTCTCCAGCTCTAAGATTCGAAGTTAGATCAAGCCTCTACGTCCTCCCACATCCACATCTCTCCACGCGCACCCGATCTGTCCGCCTCCCTTCCGAGCAGTGGGCTCCTTACCCATGGAGGCAGCCTGACTTTCCACGCACAGCCACAGAGCGATGGCTAGGAGCGCCTTGCGCTCCATCCTGCACTTCGCGCCGGGCGCAGTGCCCAGAACTCAGGCACCGGTTCTCTCAGGGCCTCCCCAGCGAAGAAGGCGCGGAGGCGGGACGCGATCCGAAGCGCAGCACCCCGGAACGCGCGGGGCGAGGGTGCCCCGGACCGGCAGCAGCTGGAGGGGCGTCTGCGAGTGCTTGTCGGAGAGGAGATCCTGGCTACGCGACCGGCTCTGGGCTTTCTGCAGCGCGCAAGTGAAGCCTGGGGCAGAGGAAAGGCAACTTCCGCACACCACCTCTCGCCCAGGGTCCAGGGACTCAGCGCAGAGTAGGAACCGGACCCACACTCTAGAGCGCGGGGGCGGGGCGGGTCGAGACGAGGCGGGGCCGCGGGAGGGGCTCCCCTCGGCGGCAGGCCCCGCCCCTCACCCTTCGCGGCCGGGTGTTCCCGGGACTCTGGGGCCTGGATCCCGCCCTTGCGAGCACCCACTACATCTCCTCACCACTACACCTGCCTGGGATGCGCCGGGTCCCGGGTGGGCCAAGGTGCAGCGTTCCGAGCACAACAGCTTAGTTTCTGGTGGAAATAAAATGTAGCCCGTAAAGAACTCTGGGCTACTCCAAGGTTCAGTTGGCTGCCGCCCCCCCGAGATTTGGAAAGCTTCACCGAGAACGCAGCGAGGCGTTGCGCCGCGTCTAAACTGTATACGGGATCAGGTTGGAGGAGCAACGAGGGAGAGGCAGATACTGAGCCGAGACTTGTGTGGGGTCGCAAACCGGCAGTTAATGCAGACAGCATGAGTGTTTTGTTTGGCCAGCACAGTTGTACTTTAAAAATCTGAATCTGAATGTCTTTAGTCAGAAAACACAGCTCCTCAATTCGCCAAAGTTCACGCGGCTTCAAATATTTTGAAGTTATCTGCCTAGCCCCAGAAGGCTTTCAAGTTTGCGACCCTTGCCTAGCTCCTAGACAAAAACTTGCAGCAGAGTTCAGGAAGCTGAAGGTACCCGGGCTCCTGAGTACCGGCGGCGGGAGGAGCATCTGTCCCGGGCACGAGACTCTCAAGAAAGGCCTTTTGTCTCCAGTGTTACCCGACAAGGAGCCCCCAGGCTGACTCTACTTGGACTCTTAGCCAGGAGTGGCTTCACTAGGGGGGTGCAGACACTGTCAGAGGCGATGACACCAACTGCTCTGGAGCTGGCCGTGGCCGCGCGCTCCTCCCCCGCGCCGGGCGGCGCCGCGGGACGCGCATACACGCGCGCGCACGCGCGCACCTGCTCAGGAGCTCGGAAAACGGGGACATAGCCCAAGCGTTGTAGTTGTAAAAGACTCCCAACTACATCCTAAAAAGCCCGACCCTCTGGAGACAGAGCAGTTCAAATTAGAGAACAACTCCCCCCTTCCCTCCCTCGTAGGTGGGGGGAGGGGGCACAGGTCCCAGCACCTTCCAGACAGTAGAAACCCTCCAAGAGAGGAAGAGTTTGATTTAAATTTTTTTAAAGTCTTCCCAAGTGGAGAAAAATAATCAGACTTAAAAAAAAATTCGCCAGGAGCAACCTAGGTGGTGAGGAGCAGAGAGGAGGAGACGGCCTATGACGTGAGAGCAGAAACTGCTGGTCAGATTCCCTGGCTTGCTCTGCCTAGCTATCTTTCAGTCCAGCTTTCCAAACCCAATCCATTAATGTATCTCATGTAACGGTAAAGTTTAATGTTAAAATGAATATGATTTTGATGTAGTTCTTAAACATTTTTCCTTCGAATTTTATTTTCTTACTGAATTTTCACTTTAACCACGTCACTATGTAAATGTGGATTCAAACTGCCACCTTTTGGTTTGCAGACAAACGCTTAACCACTGTGCCACCAGTGCCCTGGTGACATTAGCAAAAAAAAAAAATTACTAAGAATTCTGTATGGTCTGGTACAGGAGGAGGTCCATGATGTAGGGTGGCACCATGAGTTACCACACTGGGTGACACCAGCACTAGTGACACCACTGTTAGCCAGGCCCCTCTTCAGAGTGTGAAGTTCCTGCCAAGATACCCTGAGGCAGAGCAAAAGCAAACCAGTGAAGGTGGGTCTCACCTGAGGAGGAATGAACCGAAAACTCCCAGACCCTAGGCACCCAGGACACTCTGTGACCACACCTCACAACCCTCTCCAGAAATGTAGACTGCTTGTGGCGCTGTTTGTCGAGGAACTAGCATTTTTTCATGACCACATTTGTTCCTTCTTGTTTTCTCCCTATTTCTCCCTACACCTGGGGAGTGACATCAAATGTCCCTTAACTTCATTAAATAGGGATCTCTGAAATCCCTCTGTCTTTTACTTCCAAGGTGCATCCAAGTGTGTTTAATAGCAACTGAAAGGACTATCCTTCAGCAAAATGAAGAAGCAGAATTTTACCCTACATTTAGTCCAAAACCCTCCTCTGGAAATACACAATCATCATAAAATGTTGCTTTTCTTCTGCTGTTTAAAAAATATGTTTATTTACTCTTCTACTTTTCCAAGTTGTTAACTGTAATATTTTAACTCTTTTTTTAAGTATAATGAATGCATATGGTTATTTTTTTTTCAAAAATATGAAAAAGTTTACAATGAAAAGAACTTTCTTCAACAGAGGCAAGCATTTTTACCAGTTTCCTTCTTCCAAGCAAATTTTATACACTTATAAGCATATTAATTATCTTTCTTTTTCACAAATGGTAGCCTTGATATAAATGTTGTTTTGAATCTTGGCTTTTTTTCGCTTTAATATATACATTGGAGATCACTCTACATCACTCAACCCTCAGAGCCCCATTCCATTCTTCTTAATGGTGGCATGATATCCTACTCTGTAGATGAATTGATATTTATCTAGGAAGTGTTGGGGTTTTTTTACTGGGAGAGGTCCTTGAAGAAACTCCTCTCTTCCTGCTAGTAAACTTAAGTAAAACAGGATGGGCTCTGGCAGAGTTGGATAAGGAGGAGGGAGGTGGAATGTGGTTTAGAGAAGGTAATTTTTCTCCATCTCCATCTCCAGACAATTCTGTCTTAGCCTTATTTACAATTCATGACACTTTCTCTTCCACATCTCAAGTAAGAAGATAGTGTCTCCTCCTCCAAATGCAAACCAGAACCTGCAGGCCCATGGTAATAGCCCCTTTTAGATGTCTTGGAGGAAATGATGCATCTTTGATGGCCACAAGACCAGAAATTGGCAAGGCCTCAATGAAATCATTCTACCACATTCCATCCCACACAGCACTTAGAAGTGCCTTGTGTTCATGAAAAATGACAGTCTGTTTTAAAAAAAAAAAAAAAGTCTGTTCCATGTGCAACACTCTCCTATTATCCGGCACCACTGCAAAGGAGTGATTTTGTGAGTTAGTCTGGCAGTGCAGGTACAGCCACCATCTAACAAAGTGCCTCAAGAGTGCTCAGTGCTCCATAGATGGTGTTCAGACACACTCCTGCAGAGGAGCAGCAAAGAGCAATGGCTAAGCCCACAAACTCTAGGCCTACACTGGTTGTGTTTGACTGCCAACTCTACCACTTATTATCCATGGGAGCTTGACCAGTTTACTGGTTGCTTACCTACAAAACACAAAAGATGATAATAGTACCTTCTCCATAGAGTTTTTGTAAAAATTGAATGAATTACTACATGCAAGTCACTGAGAATAGGACCTAGCACCTGGTAAGCACAGGACCCTACACATAAGTACCTGATACACATTGTGATGGTTAAGATTGTGTGCAACTTGGCTGGGCAATGATTCTCAGTGTTTTAATGTGATCACTCCCGTGATTGAATATACTGTGAGTAGCCAATCAGAGGAAAGGGAGTCTCCTTGGGGGTGTGGCCCGTATCTGAATATAAGCAGACTTTCTGGCTGTTTGCTCTCTCTGGACCTTGCGGCTGCCTCCTGTCCTCTCATCTCCGGTTCTTGGGACTTGAGCTGTCAGCTTATCTGCTGAACTTGGAATTTGTCGATCTGCACAGCCTGTGAGGAGCCCTGCTCTCTGACCTGCTGATCTTGGGTTCACCAGCCCCTGCAGCTACAGGAATCAGGAGAAACCTTATGGTCTTGCCTGCCAATCTTGGAATTCGTCAACCTTCACAGCCTGTGAGTGGGAGCCCTGCTCTCCGACCTGCTGATCTTGGGCTTGCCAGCTTCCGAGGCTGCGTGACTTGGGAGAGGCCTCTACCCTGATCCACAGACTTGGTACGTTCTAGCCTCTAAAATCGCCTGAGCTGTTTCCTTGCTATAAGTCTCTGTGTATATATATTTACACACTTTACTGGTTTTGCTTCTCTAGAGAACCCAGCCTTAAGATACACATCAAGAAGTATTCTGCAAAGGTTAGTTATACTACAATACATGGTCTCCTTCAGGCTGCCTACATCTAAACTGCAATAAGGCTCATCCATTAAATAACAGTTTTTGAGCACCTACTATGTACTAGGAACTGGGGTTACAGTGGTGACAATAAATGCACTATGAGCATAAATAATCGAGACCTTAGTGGTTCAGTGGTAGAACGCTCATCTTTTTTGTGGAAGAACCAGGTTTGACTCCTAGCCAACGCACCTCATGCACAGCCACCATCCGTCAGTGGAGACTTACATGTTAATGTGATGCTGAACGGGTTTCAGCAGAGCTTCCAAACTAAGGAAGAAAGACCTGGTGACCTATAAATGAACAGCCGTCACAACAGCTTCACCCAGAGTAAATTTAAGTTAATAAAAAAGGACTAGGTATCTCCAGTTACTCCTTTGAGCTTGTGCACACAGAATATACATTGCTCATATCACCAAAGCACGTAAATTACACCTCATGACCCCCCAAATTTGATTCCATTACCATCACCAGTATTTTAGACTTCAAATCTTAAAAATATGAAGATTAGCAAAAGGTTAATAATTGTACAAGCTGGATGATGGGTACCTAAAGGTTCATTTTACTATTCTATTTTTCGCATATTTGAAATTTTCCATGATAAAAATTTTCTGTTTTATGTAATTATAATCAAAGTGATGCCTAGACTAGTATAATACCACTGACTTTTTCACTGCAGAGTCCTGATATGGTGAAAACACAGAGTTAGAGTGACATTGAACTAATCTTTTCATCATTGTAGGCATCAGTATCCTGAGCTGAGCCGTAACTAAGGTATGTCAGGCAGGGCAAGTGCCCTGGGGGCCGCTTGAGGAGAGGAGCTAATGAGCAGTTTCTATGGGCCACTGCAGTTTCCATTGCCAGCTGTGAGAGA